GCTGTCAATGCATTTTAACCCAAAATGGCTGAAGGAGAAGACGTTGATCTGGTTGTGGAACTACTTTCCACACAATTTTCAAGACGGACCTTCCACCAAAAGCTGGATGTTGTGCGAAGAGGTCGCCCAACTCCTGCGCTAGCTAACCTGTCCCAGCAAGGAAGAGAGTTTGTCCGTCATTTTCAGACGAGCAATTATGAACGCTACCCGTGACTCACAGCCTCTGTAAACGCTGCACATTGTACTGCTGGGAATGCCTATTGCTTGTAACTGACCGATTTGGTTTTTGGAGCCACACTGGATTGTTTTACTAAGGCAGCAAGGAAACGGCTGGGCACTTACAAGCTATGGTGCGTTTAAAAACGTTTGGGGACACTTGCGTAGATCTGCACCTCAGTGAAAAGGCACTACATTGGTGAGTAAATGAATTTTATTTTACATTTCTTCTTGTCATTTCATTTCGTTAGTATTAAATTCATGGCAACGAAATAAAATGACAAAGATACAAAAATGTATCAAATAAATCTGCTCACCTGCAATTTATAATGGCGCATTGTAGTCACCTTCGTGCACGAAAGTTCGTTCAATCTCAGCTGTTCGTCAGTTATTAGTTAGTCAGTTATGTCAGTTATTTGCTGTTGTATCGCCGATTTTCAAAATGCGAATGATCTGTTTATTTTCAAAGAATAGTTTGTTTTGTTATTGTTTGGTTGGTGTCTTATATGGAACTGCGACACTGCGCAATTTATTGGACAGACTTGTTGAAGATCACACAACGTAATTTGGGTGGCATTTTATTTCGTATTTTTAAATCATCTTTTTATTTTTGACTATCTGTAAATTTAGTTTCCTGCTCTTAATTGTGAATGCATACTTGATGGTTTTAAATGCTCCTGAAATTAAGTGCTGCTTGACGAGCCTATATTGTGTATGTATGTGACGTCACTGAAGGCCTAAGGTTGAAATGCACGGCCCGCCACTGAGAAAACCACTTTCCAATATTTGCAAACATGACATTTTGACCAGCATTTCGTTTTTCTTTAATTGAAGCTTAAACAGTGCATAGTTGCAGAATAAATATTTACACTTGTGTTACGTCATTTTCATAATAGTATGCTTTTAGTTGGATTTTATCAATCTTATCATGTCCACTCTGTCGTGGGAAAATATAAATTATGTAAACTTTCATGAATTCCAAATATATTGGGTAAAACGTAGACAGCCAGTTGGCTAGCGGGATTTCCCAAATATAGTCTCTTTGCTTTGGGATGGATGAAACACGTTTAAAGATAATCTAATTTAAGACTGCATTTATTTACAATTGCTTTTACCGTTTGCTCTGCGTGCTTAGCTGTCCCTGGAAATGTATTGCAACACCAAATGATTCCACGTGCTAAAGACAAGCGCGCGCCTTTCCAAGTGTGTGATTTAGGGGTTGAAACCATATGCAGGGTTGTAGGGAGGTTGCGAATGTTCATCTAGATGTGGCGGTGGACCACCTGGAGGGTACGCTGGAGGAGCTAAAACAAATAGATCACATCACATAACATAATGATGAAAATGCAAGTCTACAGGTCAAGGAAAGGGCGAATATTGGCTTTTTTTTTTATATTACTGCAATAAACTGTGGGAAGGTATGCATACATTATAATTTCACACATACTAAACATGAACCAACTCCTGATTCATTTTTAACAATTACAAAGAGTACAAAAATATCTTTGTGAAATGAGCCAGACTCTGAATCACAAAGACATGATTAAAATCTTGTTACAAATCAAAATAAGAACTCACCTGCTTCCATGTATGGCTGCGGGCCCACCGGTGCAGTGGGCATGGCGGGGCCTCCGTAATGAGGCGGGACAGGTACGGGCTGGTAGTTGGGATGGTACGGCGGATGGTGAGGCGGGGAGGCCGGCTGATGGGGTGCGACGACATAGGTAGTTGTCACATCTATCCAAAGTGAGATTAGTTAGTGCACAGGTGTCTAACTCAAGGCCCGGGGGCCAGATCCGGCCCGCCAGGTCATTTTATGTGGCCCGCGAAAGCAAATCGTGTCTGTCAACTTGCTAAAATATGTACCGAAAATTGAAATTGTCATGTGTTAAAAAAAAAAAAAAAAAAAAAAATGACATTGAGGTTTTGCAACAATTTTGTTACCCAGTTTACACTCACTTGAATAATTGAACAAACTATTTTAAATGACTTGACTGATTTCGAAACTAATAATCTATTAATTTGTTGTGTACAAGCAATAATTTTGTGGTTTCACTGTCATAACGACCCTCCGATGGAAGACGTAACTCCAAATTGGCCCGCTACTAAAATGAGTTTGACACCCCTGAATTAGTGAATGATTTTTTTTTTAGATAGTGGGCGTCATGTGTGCTGTCATGTGGCCATGTAACACAGTGATTCTAAACATGTAAGTGTTCTGCGAAAGCTTGAACAATTTAACCCCGTTTCATTTTGACCCAAACTGCTATTTGCAACAAATAATGTATCTTGGTCAGCGGCATGTAATGGCAGGCAGAATAATGAAAATGCTCTCCCATAAAACAGATTATATGTCAAAAACCTGGTAATTCAATAGGGGTGTGTAGACTTTTTATGTCCACCTTACATACTTTTTAATATTTTTTTTGGTGGTGTCCTGTGACCGTTTTTTTATCGTGTCAAATTGTGTGCCTTTGCTCAATAACGATTGGGGAACACGAAATAAAGAAAGTGTCTCACTTGGATGCCGCCGTGAGTTGCGTGGTTTCCTGCACTTTTTGTACAGAAAGCAGCATGGAGCCACAAAGCAGGTGATGAGCCCCACGCAGAAGATAATGGGAATGACTGCTCCGAGAATGCTGACCAAAAGTATGGGGGACCTGAAGTGTTTCTCAAAGCGAGGCCTGCGTAGATGAACCAGTAGTAGTCGTCACCAGTAGAATTCTCACAAAAATGGTGATTAAGATTAACCCTCTGATGTCGAGGTTGCCAGAATGAAGTGATTTTTCCCGCTAAAACCATGTTGCTGGGTCAAACTGTCATCCCTCAAAAATCTTTAGTACTGGATATTAACTGTTCTGCCTTTTGTTCAAAGACAGCCGGGATAAAATTCCGCCGACTCTGAAAAGGATACGTGGAAAATGGTCGGAGGGATGGATAAATATCATGTCATATGGCAGAGCCTCCATCAGGATTAACTTAATAATAATCGCGAAAAAGAAATAATAGAATACCGTCTTTTTTTTTTTTTATTTGTCCTAATCATTCGTAAAAAGGCTAATTCCTTTTTTTTTCTTTCTAAAGGAGTATTATCAACAGATGGGAGGCGCCATTGCTCTCGTCGGCAGGGTGGATGTCTTGCAGTGGCGCCATACTGTATGTCAAGTCAAGTTAAATGTCTTCATATAGCCCTTCATTACAAAAGAGTATCAAAGGGCTTCACGTGCCCGCAGTTGACAAATATTAGCAACATTCTCGGATCTTAACCGCCAGGAGGGCAAGGAAGAAGTACAAAAAACTAGGCTGCAGTTCATCCAAGAGATGAGGATAAGCAGCATAGAAAACAGATTTGTGTATTGAAGCAATCTGAAGGCCTTTATTTGGAAAATATTTTTAGAGGATTTCTGGACACCCTGCATACAAGTGTAAAAATACGTTTTTGTTTATTCATCCATTTTCTACCGCTTATCCTGTTCAAGGGTCTCAGGTGAGTAGGAAGTCTTCTACTTGACTTTGGACAAGAACTGGGCACACCCTAGACATTCACACCTACCAGCAATTCCGTCTTCACTGAACATAAAGAAAGGAAACAAAACCAACAACAATGAAAAAGCAATACATGCACAGAGTTGATCCTTGAACTCTGATCCGCAACTTATGAGGTTTGTTACAACTTTAGACCCATTTCCCAAAAACTAATTTTTACTACTGTCCAACTTTAGAGGTTAAAATACCCAGAGAACAATTTATTTTTGGCACTACCTGTCATCGCAGAGCTCTTGACTTAGCTGCCTTGTCTTTTCAATGCAGCAATATTTATTGCTGCAGGTTCCACAGCAATAAATGTCACCGCACTGGAGATCACGACGACGAATGCCACTGTCGTCCCAGTAGCTGGAACAGCCGTCCGCTGTAAGACAAGCCGAGACATATTGGGAGCACAAAATAGCATATACTGTTGCTTTCACCTCCATAATGAGACACATACTGAAAGGCCTCAAGAAATATACACCAAAGACACTGTAACTCACCCCATGTAGACGGTAGAAATATTACACAGGACCCGAAAATTACAATGGACAAAACAGCCGACACCATTACTGCGAAAACACGTAAACTGACTTTTAGGACATGCTGTTTGTGTGTGCGCGCGTGCGTGTGTGCGCGCGTGTGTGTGTGTGTGCGTGTGTGAGTGTGTGTGTACGCGTGTGTGTGCGTGTGTGAGCGCGCGTCCCACCCAGCAGCTAAGTCACCCAGCAGCATTCCTGCTGAGAACCTGTTCGGTGCAATTAATGCACTTGTTACACTTATATAGTATCAAAATAAAGAGATTGATGATTGTTTTATATGCAGTTTTATGACTCTCATGTCAGGTCTCGCAACAGGACAGGCACCTCAGTCAATTGTGGAGCTTCCCAAGCTAAAGGGAACCATTAGCCAACATCAAAATGACAAAACAGTGGCACTACTTCAGACACAACTACGACAATGCGTCCGATTTTTTTTTTTTTACTAGCTTCACTAGCCGTTGCTTGTTGCTAGCCGTTGCCGTAGCTGTCTTCTAAAGACATATTTCTTCAATAAGTTACAGGACCTTTTTGTTCTTGGAATGAAAAGGTTCCAATCAGATATCTTCGGCATAGCATAACAGACCGTAAAAGTTCTCAACTTCTTCAAAGGATGACATAAGCCGCGCCAATAATTTTCCCTACAGCTAAATGGTTCCCACGGTCTACGGTCTGGCGGCTTAATCTGAATAAGAAGCAATCAAAATGTATGAACTTAAACATGCAAATCAGAGGTTTGGGGATCCTCGTGATATCACGAAAGTTTTCAAACAAATAAAACAGAGTAGCATTGCACACATCTTAATTGACAACAGTGGCATGAAAGGTAGGAGACATTCAAATAATACATGCATGCATACAAGGCGAATTTCTAATTTATTGAGCTGGCATGTGGTCACATTTGACAGGACGAAACTTGAGCAATCCGTACACATGTCACACAAATCACACAGCGTGATGGAATGGGGAACACCTACTAAAATCTAAATAAAAAGGAGGAAGTTGCAAAGCTCTGTGGCGCTTGGGTTACATTGCATTTTGACAAAGGCCCAGCCGGGTTTGCAAAAAGGTCACTTGAGCACAAGTATTTCAAGTCAAAGAGGAAATGAATGAGGCAATTCAATGCAGAGTAAAAGAAAGATGTACTGAATCCAGATGGTTAGTTTTATAACATAGGCTAAAAAAATATATTTTTCCGGAAACGCGAAACCTAAGGTGTTGAGTCACAAGCAAGTAGATACAGTCTTGTCTCACCTTGCAGCTGAAATGTTTCGATTTTGACCAAGTTAATGTCACTAAATATTCAAAATGTTGTTTTGGACGTTAGGTGGATAAGAAGGCACAGCAGTTGCTAGTCAGTAAATCAAGAAAAAAAAAAAACTTTGGTTACTTTGCTACTAATGCATTGGCACATTTGCATCCACAGTTGGAACAATTAAAGCATCCTACAGTGGCACACACGAAAGAAAGAAAGAAAGAAAGAAAGAAAGAAAGAAAGAAAGAAAGAAAGAAAGAAAGAAAGAAAGAAAGAAAGAAAGAAAGAAAGAAAAGCTTATTGAGGACATGAATAGAAACCCAAGTTGTCGAGTCCACACACAATGGCCAGCTCGCTCAGAACAAACATTCCCTTTTAGCCTGGGAGCTCTCACTCCGCAACAAATATTTCCCACCATTGTCCAAATAAAAACAAAAAATACACTTTGAACTTTTCTCCCACCCCAACAATCAACCGAGCACTATTTTTCCCAGAGACACTTCTTTTGGTCGGGTGTGGCAGATTTCAAAGTGTGAGGCGCGCTACTTTACTTTAAGGTATACATACACAGCAGCTTGAGAAAAATTAAGGGATGTCTGTTAAGATCAATTTGTTAAAGGCAAAGAGAAAGGATTTTTTTTTGTTCCTACGTTGCGAGGGGAAAATAAATGATATACAAAAAGGACTTAAATACAATGCTTATCTAAACTGGTGTTAATTTCACGCTGGAATTTATGCAGTGGCATTGACAACTCGTTTAGCTAATACGACATAGAAAGTAACAGAACCAGGATGATGCTCTATAAATTTGCGGATTGCAGAATGGGATGTGAAAAGTGCGCCCTCAAAATCCCTTTTAGTTTGTGCAAAAATGCGACGACTTGAAATTTCACACACACCTTGCGACACGTTTCTAAAAGTTATGTTTAAGTGTCATTAAGGTTGCAAATATCTCATAATACTGTTTCTTGCTGAGCTATCACACAGCATTTTGAACACCCAAGATTTTTACATTTTGTTATACCTTAACGTACGCAACACAATAGTTTTATGTCCTGTAAAGTAAGTCTCACTGTCCCACACTTTGAAAAACCCGCAGAGTGCCAAGGCCATATATGACAACTGCCACAAAAACGCATTACAACAATTACACACACACACACACACACACACACACACACACACACACACACACACACACACACACACAAAAAGAACTTTATCTGTGGTTACACGTTGTAATAGTACTGGCAGACGACAGAAGCAGCTAATGATGAGAACGCGAAACGGTGCTAAAAGGCAGTAACGTCAGCACGAGAGAACACTACAAAAACGTGTCCAATTTTCACACTGAAATAATCAAACGTGGCCGAAGATGGTCGAGATAGTTCAAGCTGCAGTAGCTCACTAAGGATTTGCGGCAGGTTCAAGGAACGAAGAGAAGAAAAAAAAATAGGCAGGAAACGTGGATTTGCTTCCTGAGAAATGCAAGGCAAATATCTCTTCACAAAAAAAGCATGCACGGACCTTCTGTGCATTGAGTGTGTATAGAAATGGCCTGGGTGGATGATAAAAAAGCAAGAAAAGGAAAATTCTTTGAAGATGCTGCAGCAAACTGGACGTGCCAGTTATCCCATCTTGGGTGGCGGAGAGACAAAATCTGGGTTGTACGCCGGCTGAGCCAGGTAGTCCATCTGGGCTGCTGTAGCATTGGCCTGCGGCTGCATGGGGGGTTGCAGAGGGTAGGACGGCTGGCCAGGGGTGAACGCAGCCTGGCTGTAAGGCATCGGGTTGGGAGGGTAGGCCGGGCCAGCTGGACGAAGGGAAAGACAAAAACAGATTTGTGGCAAATGACACAGAGCATGACACTTGGGGGTTGACTGTTGTGGCAGGACTCCACAAATGAGTTTAGAAATTGCTGTTGTGAGCTCAGGGCAGCGTGTGGCTGCTAACCGGCTAACAGTGAGCCAGTTGCGTGTTTAATGCCTGGGCATCAGTTGTGGCCAAAGCAGCTTGTATATTAATACGTTTACGACGTGTTTATTTTGTTCCCATTTATTCAGAAAATAGATTGAAGTTGTCGTAGCGGCTGCGTCTATCCTTTAAAGCTCGCGGGTGCATTACCTTACACCAGGGGTGTCAAACTCCTTTTTGTCATGGGCCACATTTTAGTTACCATTTCTCTTGGAGGGCCGTTTTGACTGAAACCAAATAAAATAAGTCAATAACGATTTATTCAACTATTGTTTAAGTTTCTGTCATGAGGGGTTTGATATCAAGAAAATGCTTATAATGTGTCTCTTATTCATTAAATATGAGAATTAAAAATTTTGGCAGAGATTTTAGCAAGCATGATGGAAGTTGACATGTTTGATTTGCTTTCGCGGGCCATACAAAATGATGTGGCGGGCCAGATCTGGCCCCCGGGCCTTGAGTTTGACACCTGTGCCTTATACGAACTATCGTAGGCGATATCCACGTCTGTATTCGAATTATTCAAATTATTTGATGGCGTGAGTGCACAGAATTTCCACTCACTGGCTTCCTGATAGGTTGGCGGTGGTCCCGGTGTGTAAGGGTGCCCTGGATGGGGCATAGCGGGCATGGGCTGCGGTGGGTATCCCTGAGGTGGCATGGGCTGGCCTCCATATCCCACCTGCATTGGTACAGGCTGGTAGGCTGGATAAGGGGTCCCCTGGTAGGGCTGTGGTTGCCCAGGCGACGTAGTTGGTTGCTGAGGGTAATGCTGAGGGGTGTTGGTCACAACCGTGGTGTGAGTGGTGGTCGCGATTACCGCTGTGGGGAAATGACAGAAAGAAAAGACTCATTTCCAAAACAATGGCAAAAACATGACGATAAAGCATTATTAACGTGGAACAATCTCACTTTTTACTTAAACCTGAAGTTATTTTGTGTTTAAAAAAAAAAAAACTCCCCAAAATAATGGATGAAAATCTACCTCTGCATAAAAATAAGTGTAAAATGGGTGTGTGAATTTACCCCCCTCCCCCACCAACCCCCTCACACACACAAACACACACGCATACCATTCTTTTTCCTTCCCAAGGTCACCATAACCATTTCCCGTAAATGATGTGGGATAGTCCTTAAGTTCCCCTCATGTGGTTGGCATGGAGACTATGAGTCATATACACATACGCACAGACACAGTAGGTGGAGCTCTGACATTCCCGTTGCACTTCAGCAATCACTCGCTTGCTCAGCAGCAAACTATGTGCAGCTGACAGGAAATGAAAGTGTGGGCAACAAGAGTGAGACACACACACATACACAGTAGCACCTAACGTGTATACATCCATCTTTAAACCTTTCGTCTCCCCCCCCCCCCCAATATATGTGTTTTGTGAAAGTGTCGCTATATAAATAAAGATGGATTGTATAAATGCTTGTGGGAATTTTCATTATGTTGTAATCAATTAAATCTCTACCCAAGTTGATGTGAAACAAATTGTGAGAGTCAGCAAAAGCGTAAATTCCCATTTTTGGAAACACAAATATGAGTGTCATGTGGACGGTGAACCAACAGACCGCTCATGACTCTTCTGATTGCAGTTCTTCAAAAATTTGACAGACCAAGTATGACTCTGAGTCACGGGTGGGGGGGAATAACACAATCAGCTGCAGGTTTTCACTTGTTCAAAACAACTCGAGAATTCATGCAGACTTTGGAACCTGGCTTGGTCCCAGTCGATCATGGGACACAAATAGACAAACCATTCACATTCATCTATAAGGCATCGTAACGTGCATGTTTCAGGAAGATGGGACTTTAAAACCAATACAAAACGAAACAAACAAAGTGGAAAGGAAGATGCTCGCCAAAGGAACGATAGGGACATTGTGTTTCAAGAGCCTTGTCATTGAGTTACCGAGGCCACCCAAAAAAACAATTTTAAAAGCAATTATCAGTGATGACGGGCAAACGATGGGACTTACGTTGCGGCTTGCGGCACACCTTGTACAGGCAACAGCAGGGACAAACGCAGCAGATGATGAGCATCACGACCACAAAGATGACGCCGCCGATCACGGAACCCAACATGGAGGAGGATTCCATGAATATTGGTCGGGCTTCACTAATAAAAGACAAACAAAATGAATAATTAATAGTGCATCTAACATGGGAAGAAAAAGTGTCAATGGAAAAAGGTGCACAATTTGGAACTTTTAATGACAATACAGGTCAAAAGTTGAATCGCATATCTCACAAGACTGCAGGTTAAGTGAGCGTCGAAATGATTAACTGCCTCACTCACGCTACTATCAGAGAACACGTTGTCATTTCATAACGCGTCTATTTCGGGCATCTGTGATTGGGTGAATGTTTTATACGTATGTTTTTTTTTCTTACTTAAAGACAATAGATTCCAATAAGTCATACAAACTGTAAAGAGTATGTCCTGATGACAATGAAATTATTTTCGGAGTAATTTAGGCTATCAAGTCGATCATTTGTGATCATAATATCAATGAAGTTGAATTCAATTCAATGATATGGAGGCAGAATATCTACCTACATATGCAACTGTTTTCTGCATTACGTCGCGGGGGGGGTACAACAAATTTCCAGTTTACAGTAATGAGTCATGCATGTTGCCAATGATGGTTACACAGCGTAAGAACAGCGATCCACACGCTCGTCCACGCCAAGACCGTTCACATAACAAAAACAGCAGTGAGAATCTGCAATGCACTATTTCGATATCCATATCCATACTCCAAAGACGTTTTTGTCTCTTTATAAACACACTTGCTAAACCCCGGCTGAACGACAAAAGACGCCGTGGACAAGACAGTTATTATCGTAAAAAATATATATATATTTGGGCGAAAAAAAGAAAGCACACATATTTCCAGCACGACGTGTCCGTCTGTCTTCAAGCGTCGTGTCGGCTAGACTAGCTTAGCTGTTGTCGTAATTCAGAGCTTCTTTGATCTGTGACGTCCGTTGCGTCGGCGCTGTTTGGTTGAAGCCAAAAGACGCGCGTGCATGCATGTTCGCGCTGACGCACGCACAGCAGAGAGCAGCGGACTGTCGACTGCTGAGGCGCGCTTCGCTCGAGTTTCGTCTCTACACCTCAACATGGCTACGCTCAGGAAAGCAAATCAACAAACTCAAACATGTGTTCGTTCAATGTTGTCAACTACTATCCGGATTAATTTTAGGCAATTTTTCCTCAATTTTCCGGAGGAATTTTCATGCAAATTTGAAAATCCGGAGGACTTTCATCTCTACATTTATAGAGCAGCTAAGATAATGTCTCCTTTACCAATTTGTTTATGAAAAATGGGGGACATCCAGTGCATTGCAGTTACATTGCACAATCACACTCGAACCAGGTTCCTGTCATATGTCAACAAGCCTCATGCGAGAACGGACACAAAAGGAAACCGCTGAAGGTTTTTCAGTCACACCGAAAGTCATACAATGTCATGAGGTTGAATTCGGGGTAGGTTGAAAGGGAGTGGGAAAATGTATTACCATGCTTCTTGGCTATCCTCCGTAAAGCGCCAAAAACTATCGCTACAGCACCGTTTGGATTGGCAAGTACCACAGCAGAATCCTTGGACACATCGCTCATATGGGTGATACTGGCTTGATGAGTCGGTGTAGGCCAGACAGTGTTTATCGTCCGCTGTAATGCATCACAAAAACACAAGCAACAGGTTTAAGTAGATGAGGAGCCTGTACTTCACTTAGTAGTACACAGGGCACACATTTTTTTTAGCGGTGCTACTGGGAGGGGTCACACAGGAGCACACACTTCGGAACCAGCTCTATGGCAAAAATGCCATTTTAAATACGGACATAATATGAGTATATGTATATGTGCAAAACATGTTGCCTTAATCCATCCATCCATTTTCTAATCCACTTATCCTCACGAGGGAGACAAGTAAAACTGCTCGTTTCATCATGTGATCAGGTAGTAAAAAAGTAAGCCACACAACCTAGCATAAATTTGTAAAAAAATAAATAAATGTCTGCTTTGCTAATACAGATAGGAAGAAAAAAGGCCAAATTGTTACTGAACAGCATTCCTTTCAGGGTTGGTGCTGGGTCATGAAACCACTAGCCAATGTGGGGAAACACAAAAAAAAACTCCTAGCCACACTTAAGTGTAATTAGCCATGACATCAGGTTTATGTTTTGCTGCTGTCTTACGTGCACCACACATACGTGCACATGTTCGAGACATTGTAGGCCAAATAACACAAAGCACATAAAAATATAAGGGAAGATGTTTTTTTGGGGGGATTGTAGGCATAGCTTGATGATGAACTACATGTTGTAGTAGGAGAAATGGGGCAAGTTATCATCAATTAAGAAGCTGCTCCTTGGTTGTCAGCTTGCCTGCTTTTCTGCCCCACCCCCAAAAAATATAGATAACTGGGGCGGTGAGTTTTACGCTCTATCTTGGCAATTCTGTAGTAAATTGTTCCCAGTCTTTCCACCTTTTAAACACTTGTGTTCTAAAATAATGCATTTAAGAAAAAAAACACAGATTTATCTTTGGAGGGTCTTTAATGTTTAAGAAGTATTTGATTTCAAAGATTTATTGGAGTCTAATTTTTCTTCAACATCTTTTCAATAATTTCAACGTAATCATTACTACATTGTATTTATTGTACTCCAGCACAGTGTAAATGATTGAACAATGCACAATGTTGCAAATGCTTGCAATAAAAAATAAAGGTACGTTTTAGTTTTTAAAAAAATGCCTCATTTCTATGAACACTTAGATCCACGATGTTAGAATATTTTCATGATGGTCACAATGGGGTTGTAAAATGTTTTAGGTGGTACTTTCTGGAAAATGTTTTTAGAAACACTGTCTTGAATGAGTGATATTTTTTAAATTTATGCTACCGTTATTACATACTTTGGGATGGGGGCGGCACAGTGGGCGACTGGTTAGCACGTCCGCCTCACAGCACAGAGGTCATGGGATCGATTCAGGGCCCTGGCCTTCCTGTGTGGAGTTTGCATGCTCTCCCTGTGCCTGCAAGGGTTTTCTCCAAATACTCTGGTTTCTTCCCACATTCCAAAAACATGTGAGGTAAGTTAATTCAATGCTCTACATTGTCCCGAGATGTGATTGTGAGGGTGTCCTGCGATTCGCTGGTAACCACTTCAGAGTGTACCCCGCCCAGTGCCCGAGGACGGCTGGGATAGGCTTCAGCATGCCGGCGACCCTCGTGAAGATAAGGTGCTCGGATAATGAATGGGTGGGATGGACTGCGATAGTGCAATATAATGTCTGCATACAGGTAATTATAAACTTGTATAGTTTCCACATGCAGTTTTATTATATAATAGACAGTTTATAATAATCCTGACATTGTGTCCCGATTACTGCATTATTACATACAACTGCAGAATGCCATACAGCATCAACTACCACAAAGTCGTTAATCAATGTGCATAGTGAGATTACGTTATGTACATCAGGGATGAGTTTAGATGGGGAAAACGTGTAAAGACAATAAAAATGGAGCCCGGTAGAGAAAACACGTGACAGCCTTTGATTATCCTTCTTTTTCACTCACACCTTACAGGAAAACATTATGTTCTCAGAGTGTCGAAGCCAGGGGAATTTGCAGCCAGACTTGGTCTGACGACTCGTCTCCCGATTAAATTGCTGTTTCTGTTTCATTATTTTTTTTCCGACAAGGCATACGGGGATTCAAAAATGTTTTGCGCGATTCGGGTCAGTGACGTTGTTTTTGAGAACAGAAACCAACAAAATACACTTGTGCGTTCTTCTGTTTAGGCTACGAGCAAGCGGGCTAGCTTGCTAGCTCTCCCTGATAGCAAACACAGACAGGTCTGTGGGTGAAACGACAATGGCAACCACGGAGAATTGCCGATTAGTTTACTTTAATTCCAAACTTACAAGACACGCAGATGGGCAGAACGGCACATAGTAGGGCCAAGAAGACGACACCGGGTAGGCCTGACGCCATGGTTGCTTCTTGGAAAGGATGGAGTCACACACACACCACAGGAAGCGAACGTCTCAACCTCAGAGCAAAGATCGTCTATGCACAAACTAACGTTGTGTCTTACTCCACTGTAGTTCCTCCCTCACTTCCGTTTGCTTGTTGCACATTTCAGAACCAACTACAGTATGACGGATCGCAAACCTGTTTTACAGTGGAAAAATCTCATAGCACACCACCAAACAAAAATGTCAGAAAATGTATTATACACAGAAATAATGATGACCTCTTAATTTATTATAAGTTAATTACGTCCATCGTAACGTATCTATCTAGAAAATTTGTACTCTCTGTTAATATCGGCGCTGGCATCGAAGAACAAAGTTACTCCAACCATGCGCAAGAACATGAGAGCAGATCCTACAAACTCATTACAGGAAGAGCAGAGCACAGATTCAAACCACAAACCTCAGAACTGAGAGGCAGATGTGTTAACAACAAGTCCATAATAATTTACAGGATGTAAACAGCAGTCATCAAGTGTCATTCTTAAAAACGTCTGCAGAGAGCAGCAAAACCTCACTGAGAGAAAATGCAAGACCTCTTGAGACAACACTGGGAGTAAGTTACCAAAACATAACTGCATGGAAATAAAGGTGTGTTCACTTAAGACACGGATGGGCAACTAAAATGATGGCAGGGCACACAATGTTTCCGCAGTGCTACTTGACACAGGACCACGCACTTACTAACCAGCTGTATGGACATAATGTATGCATGTGTGCAAAACATGTGCTCTTAATATTTTTTTAATACATTTCTTAATGAATGTATGAAAGATCAAGCCTCCAACAAAAAAAGGGTTGAACAATAAAAAAATAGCCACATACTCTGATGGCCCCCCTGTTCTTCCACTGCATAAAAATGACCAGTTACGGATGTCCCAAAACCACTGAACAGCTAACCAAATTAAGAGCAAGAACTCGTGTTATTTTTTCCCCAAAACGAAATGTTTAACATTATTGAGGTAATGTTTGTACTGCATATCAGTCCAAATCAGAAAAAAATAGGCTGACTTACAAAAATGCTGACAAAGCTCCAATATACATTTTCCACAAAAAACAGAACTTTGTTCCCAAAACCCCTCCCCAAAAAACAAAGTGCTGGACAAAATTGAAAAAAAGAAAATCAGCGAATAAGTTCATTCACAGATGGCGAGCCGCAAGTATTGGTCTTAATGTGATTTTGAGTTTCGTGGCCACTCCCTGTTTGAAGCGAAGCAATGGTCAGGCACAGTTCATCACTGGTTTCAAAATGTTCACAGTATGAACTGTTTCAATAGCAATTCTAACTGAACCAGGAAATGTATTGGTCCATTCATTAATCAAGCAAAAGTGAATTCGGCTCCTTGTCCCGAAAAACAAACAAAAACAAGCTGTGAAAAAAGCAGCTGGACATGTGTATTTAAAAGTTTAGAGAGCTTCAAATTTGGTCATTTGGTTAAGCGGCTAAGAGATTGCATGGATGGATGCAAAGGTTATACTATAGTCAATTTTAAGTGCAAACTCAAATTTCATCCAAAAGCTAAATATGTTTTAGTTTTTATGAGCAGGGAGCAGCATATACATTTATCTTTATCAAACATTTAAGACGACAACAAATTATCTTTGCAGTAAACATGGGTCTTATCTACGCATTGTAATTGATATTACCGTCCTGGAAATTCTTGACTGAGGAAAAGGGAATGACTCACAAGCGCACGTGCTGAGATCTCGCGAGACTTGCCACGTTAGTCTTGCCCTTAAAGCGCTCTGATAAGCGGCTGGACAACCGCGTCCTTCTCGTTCGTCCTCAGTGTAGGATAACGAAGCTGTCACCTTCTGGCTGTCTTCTCTCTCGAGAACTTCACGCTTTCAACATTTCGAGTCGACGTAAAAGACGATCGTTGTCATTTTTTCCTGCGAGACTTATCTTGGTGAGATTTGTAGATTCTTTTTTTCCACGCTTACTCCTTACCGCCGCCGCCGCCATCATTCCCAGTCGCTTCTTGTAGCTTCGTGATTCATGTAAGGGTTGCTTAAGACGAAGTCAGGTCAAAACTACAAAGAGCCCGGGCGCTCTTTCACCCTTTTTCTTTTACTCAAGTTCTCGTTAATATTAACATCATTTGTCGATGAGTAGAACAATCAACGGGGCGAAACTATGTTTTTCCACCGTGCGTTATAATCATGTAGTACCAGGAAGTATTTGAAGGCGACGAAAAGCGATTGGCCGTTTTGTTTCCCATTCTCAATTTCTCTTGACTGTCGAAGTATATTCAGGATTCGATCGACAACATGCTTTTCATTGAGACAGCTGCTGATTTTCACGACTTATAAGAAAGCAACTATTTAACATCAAAGTTTGTCCTTCTAGCATGACAATATGAGAACAATTTCTCATTTGTTTCTTCTACTTCAGAACAATCACCATGGATGTCATAGTGCGCCGCTGTCCATTCCTGGCCCGCGTGCCCCAGGCTTTCATGCAACAGCCCAGGAATTCGCTTGTGGTTTACGCTCAGCGATGCCCCATCATGATGGAGCTGGCCTCCAAACCCATGGCGCCGTCTCTGGCGCGGGCTCTCTGCTCGTCCTCTTCCCATCACCAGAGGACAGGGAATAACATCACTGAAGGTATGATAATGATCAAATAAGTGACATGATTACTCTTTGGTGCAATTGCATGATTGAAGTCGGGCTCTTCTTTGAACTTTCAGGCACCACATTGGAGGTGGAGGCCAAGCTGCCCGCTGGCCATTCGACTGTACCATCTTCTGGTCAGGCTGTGGCCTCCAAATGCCCCTTCTTGGCTGCAGAGATGGGCCAGAAGAACAGCAGTGTGGTCCGCCAGGTCGGTATGGAGTTCCAAGAGGATGTTCAGGAAGTCCGCACTGTCCAGAAAGGTGAGATTAACTTTCGAAATGACCTTGGTAGAAAGCTGTAGAAGAAACATGATGATCATCATCCTCAATTTTGTTCCTTGTTTTTACCAGAAATGTCTCCTGATCAGCTGAAGAAGCCTTCCTTGGCCAGCACCAGTGAAAGTCTCATGAAGACACTACTGAAGCAACGCCCTAAGATGGTCTCCCATTTGCTACAGGACAACTTGCCAACCAGCTGTAAGTGTATGCACTGTGGTTTTGTGAGGAAATTAACTAATCATTTTCGTCGCAACTTGTTACCAAACGAGTTCGCATCGTCGCGTTCAAGCGAGTCTTTCTTTTCCCAACAGTGTCCCGCTTCTACTACGATGGCTTTTTCGAAAAGAAGATCGAAGAGAAGAAGAGTGACCACACGTACCGCGTGTTCAAGACGGTGAACCGCCTGGCCAACGAATTCCCCATGGCCGACGACTTCACGAGCTCCCTGGAGGAGAAGCGGGAAGTGTCGGTGTGGTGCAGCAATGATTACCTTGGCATGAGTCGACATCCTCGGGTCGTTCAATCAATCATGTGAGTTTAATCACGTTAACATGTGTAGTCTCATTTTTCCGACAAACATGCAAAGAAACATATATAATTTGAAAGTTACTTGACACCCAAGTGCAATCCATCCATTGTTTATGTGACCATAGTGGTAGCTGGTCTTAGTTTACACCAAGTCAAACACAATATATTCCATGATGCTGGGTCAACTGTTGCCGTCATTATGCATTTAACTGTAGTGGCAATTTTCAAACTAATACAATGTAAGAAGACGCCAGAACCATTCCCATATTACTATGTTGGAAACAAAACTGTTTATACATGAATAATTCGGGGCAACAAAAGTGCCTTAAATGTCACTTCTTTTTCTGGCTTTAACAAACTCACACAAGTTTTCAAATGAAATCAACCATTAGTATAATGAAAATGTTGAAAACTCTATAAACCCTTGATTGAGACAAGGCACCCATTTTAACTTTGGAAAAATGTCACAGCACAAACAAAAATGTCACAAATAGTGTCAAATAAATTATTCTTTAAAAAATATATGTATCAAATGACACTCGTGACAACATCACGCAATCACCACAGCGGAGCCAACAAAGCAGCGATGTGGGTTTCGTGGGGACGTTTGTGCTGTTGCAACTTAGGACAACACGGAAGGATTGTTGCGAAATTCGTCTTGCAATTTAATTTGAATTGAAATTAAAAAGGATTGAATTGAACTTGCCTTAAGCTCGAGGGACCCCCATTTAATACTGAAATAACAATCTTTTCATAAATGAATCACAAATGGGCTTATTCAGTGTGAGATCCGCACCTCTTAAATGAACATAAATCTGATTTGAACGGTGACAGGTGGATACAGTTTTTTACAACAATATGCCATATTCTTCTGCCTGCCACTATTTGCCAATGGTAATTCATATATTTATGATGTGACTTTTTTTTTTTCTCAATGGGAATTTGAATTGTTGCCTCCAGGGAAACACTACGAAAGCACGGCTCCGGGGCAGGAGGCACTCGAAACATCTCCGGGACCAGTAAGTTCCATGTGGAACTTGAACAGGAGCTGGCTGACCTCCACAAAAAGGATGCGGCACTGCTCTTCACTTCCTGCTTTGTGGCCAATGACTCCACCCTGTTTACCCTGGCCAAGATGCTGCCAGGTATTTTGGATTACCCAGTTATTTCATACTGTAAATCCTTTGGGGTTTGTAATGACTGTATCTCAAAAACTTGGGTTGTCGCAGGTTGTGAAATCTACTCTGACGCGGGCAACCACGCATCGATGATTCAGGGAATCCGGAACAGCGGTGCTAAGAAGTTCATTTTCCGCCACAATGACGTCGCTCACCTCCGAGAGTTGCTGCTGAAGGGAGATCCCAGCAAGCCAAAGATTGTTGCATTTGAAACTGTTCATTCTATGGATGGTCAGTTGCAGATCATCCCTTGTTTTTAAGTGATTCAAAATGTTCAAGAAAAATTGTGCAACATTTGCCTCTTTTTTTCCCCCTGGCAGGTGCTGTGTGTCCGCTGGAGGAGATGTGCGATGTGGCCCATGAATTTGGCGCAATCACATTTGTCGACGAGGTTCACGCTGTGGGTCTGTATGGCGCCAGGGGAGGCGGCATTGGAGACCGCGA